ATATGTATCTGTTTCTTCATTTTCAAGTTTATTTTTCTTATATAATAGAGGCATTATAATCAAATTATATGTGTGGGTGAGAAAGTGTGTGTAAGAACATATAGGTGTACACAGGTGAATGAAGTGAATGAAGTTATGTATGACTAAGCAAGAGTGACTGAGCGTGATACAATCCTCTCATTATTCAATTACACCACAGGACATTAAAGCATGAATTAGGGTTTGATGATGTTATATAGATGGTATATATTGTATGTTCTTTGACTATATTCTGAGGAAAAGTTATAGCAATAATAAATAATAGAAGGAAAACAAATCAAAATTAGAATATATTGTTCATGAGCAATAAAATCAATCCAGCAATTCTGAAAAATAAAATTCTGATGGCTATTTATTTCTGTAATTTTTGATTTTGACAAAGTATGTATAAAATTTACAAAGCCAACTTTCAGGTATCAGTTCTTCTTAAATGGTAACTCTGTACTAATTTCAGGTAACAGATTACACACATACAAATCATATTTAAAATCAAGAAAGATTACTTCTGTCAAAAAACAAAAATCTTTGCAAAGTTTATGTCAAAGAAAACTGGCATTACGTATATAACCAAAATACATCCTAGGAGTATTCAAAGTGAAAAACATATGTGTATTAAAATGCACACTCACATCCACACAAGTACATGCAAACATATACAACCATACTCAAAAATAACAACTGACCACAGTTTTTAAAAATCCTCATTAATTCATATAACAGCTTCTCCTTTTTAACTTAGGCAAACCACGTATACTTTAAAACCCAAATGTATTCCTGAGATAGTTCCTGCATTCCCTCAACAAACATTACAGTTGCTGCTGTTATTGCCTTGCTGGTTCCGTGATGCAGACTGTGCAGAAGTTTCCTCTAAGCTAGCGGCAATAGCTCGGGCCAGCTGTTCATCCTCACTTTCCTGGGGACTAGTTCGAGATGGCTGTTGCTGCTGTGGTCGTGGTGCCTTGTTGGCATCCTGTACAGAGGCTGCCATTGCACGGGCCAAGGCTTCGTCCTCTGACTGGGTAATTGGGTAGGAGAGAGAGAGAGAGAAAGGTCTTTTAAGTAATCATTGAAACATATAAAAATAATAAAATAATAACAATGATGATAAAAGCAGAATTTACAATCTACTGAAAAAAGACCAAGTCATATATGGTGGTAATAAAATGTCACATAGTTATTACACTTTTTACCATGTAAGGTCATGATTAGCAAATGTCTGTCAGGAAGTTATTCTTACGCATATCTAATTTTTATAATAGTGTCCTCTATTCACAACTTTATTAACATGGCGGATGAAAATAATCAATATAAATGAAATAAAAATGAAATACTAATCTACACTGAAAAAATAACAAATGATTAAGTAAATAAAAAGCCATCATAAATCAAAGACCCTTACCATTCCTCCCTGGAGTGACGACACGCTGGGCGGTGTTCGGACCGGCTGTCTCTGGTGCTGCTGTGAGTGCCCAGTCGGCCTGGGTCCGGTGGATGATGGGGAAGGGGAGAAGTACCTCCTGATACCTTGGGCACTTGCATCGGCTAAGCTGCTGAGGCCACGAGAGACGCTGCCATTGCTCTGCCCTCTACTAGTGCTGCTGCGTGACATGGCGGCTTTACTGTGAGAAGACAAGAGGGACAGTAAAAACAAAGGCTGGGAGTTAAATTAGATATGCCAAAGAGGGAGAAAAAATAATCATACTGTAGATGCATAAATATAATAACAATAAACTGTACATCAAACATGAAGTAAATGAGTCCAAAAAATCAATTTTATGTAACCACAGCAAGGCCACCAAATGAACTCTTCAAAAACTTGTGATTAAAACACTATCTTCTCATACTGACAATTCTAAAGATAACAGCGCAATCGAAAATATTATTAATAGATACGAAGGATAAACTTAGTTTTCAACTGTTTGAACAATATCAACAACTTAATTTTTTTACTTTATGTCTTTTGAAGTTTCTATGTTACTTCCAATTTAAAAGGAACCTTTAAAAAAAGCACATTTTTGCTTCCATGATTTTATCTTGGAAGGAACTGGAAGGTCAAGATGGAAAAAGGTATGACTGAAAATGCATAACTTCACAACTTCACAGTTTAAGTGCTACATTTTCATTACAGTTACGTAAACTTCTGATGAAGATATAAAGCAAAATGCATCAATTATATACATCTCTGGCATTATAAAGTTTTCCAATTACTTCATTCTGTTCCTACATTTGCAAGAGTGACATATGTTCTATGGGAGACACATCATTTACTGGTTACAATAGTGCTATCTCAAAAATTATAAACTATAAATGAAGTAAAAATTGCACTGAAAAAAATATATAATAAGGCATCAGTATCTTTATATCCCTATTTCTGGTTTAAATACCAGACATTATAATCATAATCAAATACTGTATGTGGAGTCAAGGACTGGCTTTGTTCTTGAATCAAATAATAAATAAA